CGCAACTAAATGACATGCCCAGCTGGCAATCTGTGGCCTAATCGCCAGCTGTGCGGAGCAAAACAAAGGCTGGGGGGGTTGAACAGCAGCCAGCCATTGTCACTGCCCACTTATGTGTGGCAAGCGTGTGTGTGTGTGAGTGTGTGTGAGAGTGTGTGTGTGTGTCATAAAGGATAATTGCAAGGCACGCGCTGTCGGTGGCAAGAAAGAGAAGGCAATAAGCGGTGAGCGTTCGCTAATGTCATTAAAACCAGCTTTTGTCTCTATGCAAGTGTGTGTGTGTGTGTGTGTGTGTGTGTGTGTGTGTGTGTGTGTGTGTGTGTGAATATAGAAACAAAAGGCAAACGACAACAAGATGGAGAATGCAAAACCACAGAAAATAATGACACAAAATGGCTTCAACAGGCAGCATCAGCTGCTGGGCTCCAAGTGGGGAGCAGCGAGGCGCACGAGAGGCAGCTGAACAGCTGGACAACTGGAGCATATATGCCGAGTAGTAAGCAGTCCAATGGGCACCGTCTGGCCAATGTCCATGCGGAAATGAAAGTTTCTAAACTCAGTGAATATATGTATATGTAAGTGAGTATTAGGGAGAGTGTGTGTGTGTGTGTGGGTGTGTGTGTGTGTTGGTGGGTGTGTGCTAATGGACTAGTTTCGTTGTGCGACAAGTCGAGGGCTATCACTTACAAAGCAGCGAAGCAAAAAGCCAATACCAAAACCAAAATCCAAAACCAAAGCCAAATCAATCAACACCCCTGCCCACAGCCACGCCCCGCTACGGGACTGCCTCACTGCCAGTCTCACTATCTCTCTCTCTTTCGCTCGCTTTCTCTCTGTGAGGCGACTCATCAATCATGCGAGGCGGCGCAGAGCTGACATTTCAACTGAGCTGTCACATGCTGCAGCTACGCCTGCCCCTGCCCCCGTCAGCTGTCCTGTCATACGCGTGGCAAGCACTCCTGGCACCATTCGGTTCTTAAATTAATGATAAATTTATTATAATTAAAATGCGCACGCTTTTTTGCTTTTATTTTGGTTTTTGTTGCTGGGCTATGTAATTCGCATTAATTACAGCGAGTGCAGGCCTGACCTTTGACCAGGGCTTATCGCTGACATTAATACAGCATTCGATTCATGTTCGTGTCGTGTCGAAGCACACCTGACACGAATGTTCAAAAGGTTTACCTTCTTGTTAACAATATATTGCCAGCATATTCAGTTTCTATATATAAATTGTATATACATGCATATATCTATATTTATATTACCTTCACATACAGGTAACATGCCAAGAGTCGTGTTCAGCTTGATCAAGATATCCACAAAGGATTAACTTTTGCTATGAGTAGAAAGTGAGTTTGACACTTGTTGCATGTCGTTCCTAGCTGATATACCGTGGCTATATTGAATCGGCTCTAGATGAGCAATATATATAGCTGCTATATACATAAATACAGTCAAGCTTCGTCAGCATCTTCTGCTGTTCTGCTTCGGCTTCTCTTTAAGGCCTTAACATTCAGCTTAAGCGGTTTCAACTGTCTGGTTGAGCTCTTGGCCCTCAGGTTAGAGCCATGTCCATTGTCATATATGTATGGAGCACTTCGGTTCATTTACTGCCCCACCTTTTGTGCGCCAATTTCGCTCGCAGTCAAGCTGGATCAATATGGTTGGCACCTGGCCGCATCGTGGGGCTTAAAAAGAAATCGCGTCTGTCAAATGACCCAAACAAATTGCAAAACTTTGCCAGCCATCAGCTTTGAATGCCATTAAGTGTTCTGCTCTGTAGTGTAGTATCGTGTAGTGTAGTGTAATGCAGCCACGCCCCTGACCGAATGCCCCACTGGCTGACTGCTCCACTGTGATAGCCGTCCACTTGTCCACTCTGCAAGTGGCAGTTGATACAGTAAAATGTATTGACGTTGACATAATGGCAAAAATAAACACACACACACAAACACACACACAAACACACACACACACACACACACACACACACCCACACTTTGAAACACCTAGAGCTTTAAGTGAGTGAGTTCCACGATAATAACAAATAAACTCGAAAGCGAAGCGTTGCGCTTGGAGATGAGTGCGTGCCCAATGAGGCAATAGCTCGTGACACGAACGACAGGAAGGCAAGCACCTAAATCCTTCGTTTATATACTGATGCCTTCAACAAGATCAACGATCAGCAGTTGGAGGTTTTTTTGGCCTTATCGAAGATTTCTCAATACAAATTTCTTTCAAGTCTTGTGCCGCTCGTGCTCGTGCCCTAATGCCTTCAGCTGGCGATAAGCATGAGCTCAGCTCTAGCTAGCCATAGACGCCGTGATTCAGGCCACGTTTTGGACGTAGACAAACTCAGAGCGCTAGCTGGAAGGCGGCAGGCGAGGCTGGCTGGGGCAACTGCGCTATTGGCGGCAGTCACTGTTGACATTACAAAGTAGCAAAAGTTGTTGTAGCTGATGTAAATCTGGCAGTGTGTGTGTGTGCGTGTGTGTGTGTGTGAGTGTGAGTGGGTGTGCGTGTGAGTGTTTTGCATAAATATGCATTTGCCCATTTACCAACTGCCAGCGATTGCATGTGCATATTTGTATACTCACACAGACTCAGGCACACTCAGACACACACACACACACACGCACCAGCACACACACATTTATTCATTGGCCGGCCACGTGAATTGCAAATCTGGAAATTTAAATGTATCTGTGCCCGCTGTGCATGCATGTCACCACACACAGCACCAAAGAGCCCCCCACCACACACACACACACACACACACACACACACATCCTCGGTCAGCCCCATCAAAGTAGAGTGTTTGTAAAAAACTCTAGTAGATATTCCACGTCAACTTTTTTACAACTGTCGCATGTCGAAATAATGCAATTTATTGCTCTCGATAAGGCAGTTTATTTTATTGGAGGTCAGCTCATGTGAACTAGTTCCGCAGACACATAACAGCTTCAGCTAGTTTGTCTGTCAAAGACTCAAATATATTCGAAATATTTTATTTCTCATATTTTGGCACTTGACTTGAGAACTAGTTCACAATTTGACAAGTTCTTTGAAAGCGAACGTATGTCAACACCTGTCGTAAAACATAAAACAGTATATCACAAATATACATATTGGAAAAGTTCATTTTGTTCTTCAATATGCTGTGTTTAGACGATATATGCTTTATGAACCACAAAATGCAGCAAATGATTAATGAAAGGTTAAAAGACTTGAACAGACTTATGTATTTAAGTATTGTTTAACTGATTTAGATTTATTATGTCAAATAAGAACTGAAACCAGTTCAGTTCCAGTGCAAATAGAACCTGAGCTGAACTAGCTTTAACTCGAATTGAACCACTGAATACTTTAACTTAATTAAATTGCATTACAAATCAAGTGGTTGTCAAGTCAAGACACGGAAAATGAACTAGTTCCACTGCGAAGAACAAACATTCATGCAAATCTCTTGTAAATTGAATCTAGTTTATATAGACATATCTCGATCTCTTTAATTCTAGCAATTTAAATTTGTGGAACTACTTAGTAGTTCCGAGCAACATCAGCTCACCTGCATGTGTGTGTGTGTGTGTGCGTGTGCCATAACAATTACTGGCAATAACAGTAACAGTAACTAGAAGGTCTCCTTTCAAAAAAGGCAAACAACGAGTCAGGCAATGGCATTTTGGAAGCCATGCGATGCCAGCGAGTGGTTTTCTCGCTTGTACAATGTTCCATGCAGACCGTGCCGTGTTACATGTTACCTCTTGCAACAACAGCAACAGCAGCAACAAGAGCAACAATAACAACCAATAGCAACCGCCATTAGCTGAGCTGACTGTGTGACGGGCAACACTTTTAAATGGCTTTTAATTTTGAATGACAACATTTGAAATGTTCGAATTACGCGCAAATATTTTGATAGATACGCGATGCTTCACTAACCAGGCAAACTGACTGAGTGACAAGCTGAAAGACTCGAGCGTCGAGCTAAATGTCAACAATCATTGTTGTCATTGGGACAGCTATTGACAATCGTGTATATGAATCGAAAGTTAAGCTACGCTGGCTCAAAGCGGTTCACGTCCAGCGCTGAAGAGCTGAAATGTGCCGAGAAAGATATTTCGAAATCGATTTATCTTAATTATAATATATAATTCATCGATTTTTATCGATAGCTGGCTAGATTGTCTCATTAAGCTTACAAACTGACTGAGGGGCAAACTGAAAGACTCAAGCACCGAGCTGAATGTCAGCAGAATCAAGCCAAAGCAAAGCATTGTCAGCTACAGCTATCGATAATCGTCGATAAATATCGAAAGTTAAACCAAGCTATACTGTCCCGAGAAATCTCCCAAAAAGATGTTTTGAAATCGTTTTATCTTAATTATAATAATATATTTATCTACATAATAATATATCGATTTATCATAATACAAAATTCATCGATAATCGTCGAAAAATATCGAAAATTAAGCTAAACATTGTCAAAGCGGTATGAATCCAGCACTGAAAGTCTCAATGTCTCCGAGTTTTCAATGATATTTATATTTATCTTGACTTTAATATCTAAATCTATCGGTATTTATCGATATTTGTGTTAATTAACTCACTAAGCAGCTAAAGAGAAAAGAAAAGTAAACTAAAAAGACTCACGTGAGCAAAAGCAAACTAAAGCAAAGCATTGTCAGCGACAACTATCGATAATCGTCGATAAATATCAAGAGTTAAGCTAAGTCAAATGAAAGCGGTACGAATCCATATCCATACTGAGAGCTGAAATTTTCCGAAAAGTGCTTTGAGAAAAATAATTTGAAAGATTTTCATTTTAATTTTGCGGTATATATCTATCGATATTTATCGATAACTGTCTTAATTGTGGTGAAAATACTTACCTAAGTCATTATTTAAACTGTTAATTTATATATCAGATAATCAGAAAATAATTATACTGCTTAAATTTAAACATCTCTCTCTCTCTCTCTCATTATCTTTTACAGCGGACAGCTCGTTTCTATTGGCCAACGCACAAATCGTCGATTTTCCGATCGTCTACTGCAATGAGTCCTTCTGCAAGATTAGCGGCTACAACCGAGCCGAGGTCATGCAGAAGTCGTGCAGGTATGTGTACGTATTGCCGATTTATACTCACTCGCTCTGTTGTGCTCTCTTTCTAAATATAAATATAAATATGAATATGAATATAAATATATATAATTGTATTTAGCTTAAGTATTATGTGCTCTCTTCTCGCGCGCTCTTCTCAGCTGTTGCCCAACGCGCGCTCTATCTCTCTCTCTCTCTCAATCTCTGAATCTTTGTCACATTCACAGCAAATCAGAGTTTTGTACTCTTATCTATATCTATTGTATTCCATTTGACGTTCAGCATTCTATTCATGTTGTCTGTTCGTGTTTGGTATTTACATAAATTTGTATATTGCATGCCTAGTCTTAAGCTTTGCACCTTCTCGTTCACTAAGATATTCATATTCCCATAAAACCGTTTGTAGTTTTTAGCATAAATTCAGCTTGCACTTAACTTATGCTTCTTCCTCTTTAACATAGCCTACTTCTTTGATCATGAACCTTTGTGGCTTACTGTGTTGTCGTGACACCTATCGTCCGTATTCCGTATTGGTTTTTTGCCAAAACAGGGAAAGAGCTCACAAGAGTTAGTTAAAATTCTTTAGAGCAGTTGAAGTCATGTTACTCAAACTGTAAGCACACTTGAGACCATTTTCTAGCTGACATGTAAGCGGATTGAGAGCGATTAAGCCGTGACAACGCACTACGAAGGCCAAAAGGAATTCCAGTCAGAAGTTACTGGGCAGCTAGGTTCGCCACCAGCTCGTAACCCCTGAGTCCATTTATCAAGGCATTAAGCTGGCCCCAGTTCCGGCTAACTGTATGCAGCATGCCAGCTGCGGAGAAGACGAAGGAGAGGAAGAAGAAGACAATAATGCGGTCAGCTTTAATATGCTTTTAGCAAACTGTTGTGTAATGGTTGCTAATTGTTTGGGTCTAGGTCGCCGCAGAGAGTCGAAGCAAAAGTGAAACTCGACTTGGCTTGTTCCTTTTTCAAAGGCGAAATTGTGGCGAAAGCGAATTCGCTTTACTCGAGGCGAAATTCGACTGTTTTCTACATCTATCCACATATCAGCTGGCAAGTTAGCTTAGCTCGAATTTGTTGTTATTTATTTATGCTATTTTTTTAACATATGTTTCCATATCAGCTGGCAAATTAAGTTGAAATATGAAACAAATTGTTTTGCTTTTGACTGTTGCATGGACTCAAGTGGCCGTCAAACGGTAGCAGTGCGCGCCCTGTGCAATCCTCTAGCGAATTGTTTATAATTTGCGAGCAAACATTTTCACAGTGGTTGGCGAAACAGGAAACAAAAAAATAAAAAACGAAAACAAAAGAAAAGGAAAAAAAATACCGTATGCAGCGCCAGGTCAGCCTCAAGTCCCTAGCGAGCCCCTAGTTGACTAGTTTTTTTTTGGACAGACCAAATTTTCGTAATGCCAATCTAGCGTTTAGCTGACTACGCTATCTCCCTCTCTCTCTCACTCTGTCGCTCTCCTGTGTATGTGTGTGTGTGTGTGTTATTTATTGTTGCGCTTTGACCTACTTTACTGCTGCTACTGCTGTGTGTGTGTGGCCGCGTGGAAAAAGAAAACACCGCAAAAGGTTGACCAAAAACGAAAATCTCTTTTTTTCACTCCTCGCTGTCTCTCTCGCTCACCAGCCTTTTGTTTGTTTGCTTATTGCTATTGCTGTTGTTTCTGTTTGCCTAACTGCGCGCACTTTCTTTCAATTTGCCAGCTTGTGGAGCCCTTTAACTCCAATCCCCGCCGCCCAATGGCTCCGCTGCTAGTTTTGGAGTCTATTGAGTGGGTGAGTTGCCTCCAACCTGTTCGGGCCTTTGTGTTGCCTGGCTTGTAACCCAATTTTGTGCCTAAGCACAAACACACACACACACAAATAAATAAATATATCTATATGTACTTACATAGATATTCTATGCAGCAAAACAGTTCATTGCACAAAATGGCCGGCGAAGCGGAAATGAGTCGTTTTGTGTTTTTATTCGTGACGTCGCTGGGCATCTTAATAGCGTCGACGTCAACGTCGAAGTCGCTGCCGCAGTCACAGCCGCAGTCGCAGTCGCCGTCGCAGTTTATTGAACCTTAGTCATGGCATAAATAAATACACACACACATAAATACACGTGCATGCATATAAACATCAATCGTCTAACTGCAGCAATCGCAAAAACCAAAAACAACGTAAACGAAAGCAACAACAACAGAGAGAGCGACAGCGACAGCTTCAGCGTGCGCTGCAGCGAATGCCAAACACAAATTAACAGTTTTTATTGTGTCTCCTTTTGCACATTCACATTCGGCTTCGCCTTCACCCATTGCCGACTGCTGACGTCATTGCAATTTACCCCGAGTCTCTCACACTAAGCTGCACTTACTGGTTCGCGTGCTCGGTCGCTCTTTCATGTAGTCGCCTACTGGTACGCTTGCTCGCTCGCTCGCTAAGCGCTTGCCCATTTTTACATATTTTCGCGCGCGCCCTAAAAGCATGCAACACTTTTTTCGCCATTTTTTGTTTTTTACTTAGTTTAGCACGTGCGCTGCCTTGGCAACGCTTTTCTATTTTTCATATCACTTTATATTTCGTGCTCTTCTTCCACTTCGTTTTTCAAGTCATTCTTCAACATTTTTGCTTGTGATGCATGTGATAGCATCTGCAGGCGCAGCAGCAGCAGCAGCAGCCGCACAAGCAGAAACAGCAAAGAGCTGCAAGCTAGAAGATGTGCCACACGATATGGTAATTTCCATCATCACTCGTGCTTGCCGGCCATTCGGTGTCAACGTGGCCAAAATTAATGGCCGCCACCGAGCCTAGCGGCAAGCCAATTTAGCATATTACCTGACCCGGCACCAGAGAAGCAGCAATGAGTATATCTGTTCCGCGAACGTAATAGCATAAGCTCCTCAGCGTTATGTAAACTAAATTATCAGATTGGGGCAAAAAAATTCTAGGAATTTCATTTGCTAACTCGTGCCTGCCGTTAACACCTTAGCAAAGGAAAGTAAAAACCACTAGAAAAACAGTCGAAGAATTCCTGGGAATTCATTTCTTTGCTTATCAACAACTCGTGCTTGAAGAGTGCCCTCCAAGAATTGAATACTTTTAATTTAAGGCCGAAATTTAAAATTAAAACGATAACAGCGATATACCAAGCTTCATTGATATTTAAAATATAAAAAAAAATATAATATATATATATTAATATTATATTTGATTAAAAATACAACTATTAAGATATCTCTAGTCGGCAATGACCGACTAGCAAATGCCGTGCACCCTAAGAAGAGCAAACTTAAAAGATCGATCAATGAAAAAAATTGTCGATTACTTGAAACAAACTTTATCTAAGGAGATATAGAAGGAACTATGCAGTTTCAAGTCTTTATAGTTCAGGTATCTACTAAGCTACGTCTTAGGATCTAATTTATTAATTTAAAGTTCAAGCTGGAAAAAATAAATTGAAAGGTGTAAATTAGGTAGATTCCAATTAGTAAGTCGTTCGACTTCTTTCAAAAAGTCTTTGGTTTTGTCTCAAAAACTCTTCAGCGACAAGTCCAAGTGTTAGTCCACGTTCAGGTAAGACATCTGCTGCTGGCTCTGCCACCTGTTCTTCCACTTGCATGGCATGCCCTAATTATATTAATTATAATTAATTTATACTTATGTCTGTTTCTATGTCTGTATGTGTGTACGTGTGTGCTGCCGCCGGCAGCTGAAAACTAATCAAGAATAATACCTCGTATATGTGCGATATTCTGCTCTTGTATATTCAATCCCCGCCCCATTGAACCACAACACAGATGCGGCTTCATGTACGGCGAGCTGACAGACAAGGAGACGGTGGGACGGCTGGAGTATACGCTGGAGAATCAGCAGCAGGATCAATTCGAGATATTGCTCTACAAGAAGAACAGTGAGTATATAATTCCGTACGATATAACACCAACAGATTATACACTCAGAGAAAAACAGAGTACGAAATATGATTTGAAATTGCGTGAAAATTCAGTATGCGTGAGAAGTCGTATTCGAATTAGTAAAGTTCTTAAAATAAGATCACAAAGCTTATGTCCAGAAATTACCTAACTTTACTTTCTCTGAGTGTATTTGCCGCTTACTCCCAGCCTATAGCTGCAACCTCAACCCAATAAAAATATGTATAAATTAATTTAGATTTTTGTATACTAAATAAGCAAAATGTAAGCTTGACTAAGTTTAATTAGGGTAGGGTATCATGGTGTAAACAATCTACCCTACTCAAGCAGGAGTTGGGGCTAGATTAGGATTTATGCTTCGTCCCTTTCCACATAATAAATTGTTGCACTTTGTGCTCATCTCCCCCTACATGACTCTCTCCTCTCTCTCTCCCTCTCTCTCTCTCTGTCTCTCTATAAATATATCATTCAACTTTAATCCTAGTCAGACTCCGAAAACTCCCTTCACTCGCTACTCGCCGCTCGCCGCTCGCTACTCGCTACTCGCTACTTTATATTCGTTACCTGGCTTCAATTTGTTGCCAGTCTCCTTTGCTGGCAGCTGCTGCTTTTTAATACAAACAAATTGAAGTGGCGCAACAATTTTTGAGTGACGCCCATCAATCAAGCCCCAACCACCACCACCCATACACACTCACACAGAAGACTCCTCCCGGCTGATATGTATTTGTGCATCTGTAAGCTAGCTAAATCACGCCCGATTTTCACGCCAAGACGCAAATATAATTAACGCCTTCGAGTATCAATTTACAGATATACAATGTGGCTGCGCCCTATCGCAGTTTGGCAAGGCACAAACCCAAGGTACATTCAACACGAATATCGTATATCGTATATCGTATGTCGATAACGTACTCGATAGATGACATTATGCTAAAGCTGCAACTGGCGCATCTTCTGCACTCACTGTTTGCCCTCCGCTTGCTTTTGTGCCCAGCATTAGCAAAGGACATCGTCATCAAATATGCATGAGTCAATTGCAATATTGTATGCGTGCGTGCGTGTGTGTGTGCGTGTGTGTGTGTGAGTGTGTGTGCACATAGCAATCGATGCTCATGCATTATGCATAAGCCAAATCAAATGAGTCTTAAGCTACGATTAACTCATCTGCGAAAGCTAATCCAATTGATTTCCAATTCGTCCCAAATGTACACTGAACAAAGATCGATTACTAATCGATATTACCAACAAAAATCATGAGAGTTTCCTTTAGATAAGAGTCTTATGAAAGTAAGTTTAGCCATAGCATTTTATGTACTCCAGCTTAATTAATTATTTATGTTTGACTTCAATTTGAATCTATCAAAGAAATTTTTTATGCATCGATTCCTCAATCCTTCCTCAGCTTGTTCGCCGAACTTCATTCAAATTGAATTGGAAATTTGGCTTCATTTGGTTTTAGTGCAAAATCAAATTTGATTTAGATTTGTTGTAGTTCGATTATGGCTGTAGGGTGTTTGATTTTCGACTGGGCCAAACAAGCTGGCTTCGAAATCAATTTAAATTTCAGTCCGTGCAAATGCAATTTATAATTCATGGCATTTACTATTTTGGGCCTGGCTAAACATGAATATTTCATAGTTTCCGCATGCCGCCAATTAAATATGAGTACATTGAAGTTGGCTAAGAGCTGAAACGTGATAATTATTGTTTAGGGATAACGAAACTAGAGCTGAGTCACATTTCATTTTCATTTCGCATATTATATGATTATTATTATGCGTTGTCAGACTTGGCACAAAAGCGAGCGAGCGAGCGAGCGAGCATCACGTGGCAGCAATTCGATATGCGTACAAATTGAATTGGCTGACAGGTGTCTCGGGGGCAGACATCTGCCAACAATATATGTATTCATGCACACACACACACATATATATATAGAGAGATGGATAGAATTGATGCTCAATTAGCGAATTTTTGTTATATTTCCATTTTGTTATTGGGCCAAAGGCAGGCGGAAACGGAAGTGAAAGCGGAAATGTTAACAGCAAACTGCACATGAAATTAGCCCGTAATTATGCTTTTAATATACCGCCCCAACCCAGAGCGATTATCGCCTCAAGCCACCCCCTCCCCCACTCCCCCGTCCTCTATCTCTTTCTCCCACTGACAGCATAATTGCGCATACGCCGCGTGGGTCAGCGCAAATGCAAATTGAATTGCAATTATTGTTGATTGGGCGCACACACACACACACACACAGTTGCTGAGCGTGTGTGTGTGTATACATTTAATTTACCATTGCACACTTTAGCAGCAGAGCATTGTTTTAACAGTGCTTTGAGCCTCGCGCGTGTAATATCCGTAATTGCAATGCCAAACTCAAATCGTGCGTGCCAGCTTTGAGTTGCCCTCTCACCTTTCAACGCTCACCTCCCATGCTCCCTCTGCATTTATATTTCTGTCTCTGTCAGTGTCTGACCTGAATGCGCTTGCATTCGATTATCCAGCCAGCACTTGCCCTAAATATGTGTTCAAATTTTACATTAATTTGCAGTTCTCCTATAATCCCGCTCAATAAATAACACAAAGCAAACAAACATTGTCCACATTATTTTTTGCTGAGCAAATAGAAAAAGTCCAAAGCTCTGTTTATTTACGAGTCATACTCACGCCTGTTCAGAAGCCAATGTTTGTATATTATTGAGGCACATAATTCAGAGATAAGTGGATAATTTCAGGCTACTATCCGTGGTAGTTTGCCATTGAAAGCGACGTTTACCTGTTGATATCGCAAGAGAATATTATAATTCCAACTCACATAAGGGAAGATAAGAAAATGGCAAGACTTAAGACTTTGTTTTCACTATATATATAGACATAGTTCCGTCGGTTAGGTATTCGCAAATATTTGAGGAATATTAAAGAAAGCTTGCAGGCAAATCTTTTTATTTGGTGTTTGGCTTAGACACGCTGTTAATAAGAACCCTCTGTTTACTTTACCTTTCTTTCCGTCCATTAGAAACGCCGCTATGGCTGCTGCTTCAGGTGGCGCCCATACGCAACGAGAGGGATTTGGTTGTGTTATTTCTGTTGACATTTCGGGATATCACGGCGCTGAAGCAGCCCATCGACAGCGAGGATACCAAAGGTGGTAAGTAGATTCAGCCCAACACTCCTGCTAGCCACCACTGCCCCGCTCTCCCACTCCACCCCCTTCAATCCACTCTATATATGTGTATATATATATATATATTGCACCCGAGCAAACTGCCAAACACAAGCTCCACTTTGCAAATTGAAATCATATCAACGAATTGGCTATACACTTCACACTACACGCATACTCGTTCCCAACACCCTGCCCCTCCCGCTCTTCCCCTCTCTCTATCTCTCTGTCTTTCTCGCGCATGTATTCTTTGTTACACTTTGCGCGATCTCTTCTCTCTCTCTCTCTCTCTTTGTCTCTTTCTATCTATCGAAAAAAAAAAAAAACAAAACCAAACTGTACATCACTCTACTGTTTTACTCTCTTTTTCTCTTTTGTCTCTGTTTCTCCCACATATACCCCGATATCCAACAAACTGCACAACACGCACACACGCTTACGCATTGTATATATATATGTATATACTGAACCGATCTAACCAATACAATACACTGCAATACAATATATGTATATAAATAATAATGTTTGTATATATTTTTCAACATTTGCTTTTCTTCTTTTCTTTATCGCTTTGTCGCCTTGTCGACTTATCGCCCGTCTTTTGGTATATTTTGGCATTTCTTTTCCTTTTTTCTATATATATATATATCTCTCTCTCTTTCTCGTTTTCTCAACTTGTTTCTTTGTTGTCTTGGTTGTGGCCTGTACGTGTCTGTCCATATCGTAGCAGTTAATCTATTCCTTCCAGTTTTAGGTCTCTCCAAATTCGCCAAGCTGGCGCGATCCGTGACGCGCAGCCGCCAGTTCAGCGCGCATTTGCCAACCCTCAAGGATCCCACGAAGCAGTCGAATCTGGCGCACGTGAGTACCGAACGCACACAAATACACACGCATATGCATATCCACAGCTATGTTGATCTTAATCTGCAACAGATGATGTCACTGAGCGCGGACATTATGCCGCAGTACAGACAGGAAGCGCCCAAGACGCCGCCACACATACTTCTGCATTATTGTGCATTTAAAGCAATTTGGGACTGGGTGATATTGTGTTTAACATTTTATACCGCCATCATGGTAAGTAGCAAGTGTACCCTATCCTAAGTATAGCCTGCTTTACCCTCACTCTATAAGCTAACATAAGTCCTACTCCCTACTCTACCCCTAACCTACTCTATGCCACATTCTATGTTCCACATGATAAACTAATAAATTGGCCCAACTATTACACAATAAGCAGCTCTTTAAGTGAGCCTTGTCACGTACTTAAAGTACTCCAATAATACCCTGTAAAATTGGAATTGCTTTCACTTCTTATCAACGCCCATTTTTATCTCAGCTAGGCGCAGCTGACTCATTTGTTTTTCTGGCACGGTGTTATGGGTCTAGCTACTTAGGCGTAACCACACCCACATCCACGCCCACTCACCACATGCCACATGCCACATGCCACATGCCACATGCCTCAAATCCAGGCTGCTGTTGTTTCCACGCTTGTCTACTCAAATTGTGCCTATTTCCGTCAACAAGATGTTAACATTTTCGCTTAAATTGCGCTCAACCAAGTTGACTCACACACACACACACACAGAGACACACACCCACACACACACGTGGCCACACACATGTGTCTGCGTAGCTAGAGCTCAGCATCCTCCAGAGAGTTTGGGTCGAAAGTTGCTTTGTTGCTCTTTTAGTTTGTAATTTGTTGCTGTTGAGTTTGCAATCGCTTTTACATTGTTCTTATGCCCTGCAATATGAATCAGTGGGGTATTTAAAAGTGCTTTGGATATACGTGACAGACGAGGAAACATTTCGAAAGCTGCTTCAACTTCAGAAAGGTTCTCAGCAGCAAAAGAAACGCCAACTACTTTCAAAGTCTTAGACTTGGACTTGACTCGATAAATATCGATTTTCAACACAGAATTATTTGACATTCTGATCCTCAACGGTATAATTGATCAAGCACATGAGTAAATAGGCTTAAGAAATATTCATCGGTCTCCGCAAAATCGATATAAATCGATATGAAAGTCTAAAGTCAACCAGAGCAACTTGCTGCGACCCTCGCTCATGCCAAATTATTTTTGTGAGGTAGACGTATTAGGTATTAACTGTCATACAGGGTATCCATTGGCCGATCAGTTGCAACTAGCTAACATTTCTGTTTTGTTATTATTTAATGCAATTTGGCTGCGTCGAATTTTGTCGCTGTTGCCAACTTTAGCATCAACTGCGGCTTCTCGGCTCGACTTAGCCCCTGACAGCTCAATGGCCCCAAAACAACTTTCAAGCCAAACACACTGAGGCAGCCAACCGAGACGACTTTGAGCTACATTCAAAATGTGTACAAAGCCAAAGTTGCTTTAGACGCCAACCGAATGAGTGGGTTTTAGTTTCTCAGACAGAGCTTAAGACTTTTAAGACTTTAACGCCTGTCAAAATATATAACAAAATATGGCTAGAGCTGCAAATGCCATGAACTAAATATTTAATTCAGTTCACTTCGAGGCAGCGGCCACATTCTGTGTAGCATGGGAGATAGAGGAATTGGCCAGTTTTAACCATAATTGACATGACTTGACAAATCTCGATCGTTTATTGCCATCTCTGAGGGGTCAAAAGACTTTGGTCTTTCAGTCAACAGAATTTCATAATAAATTCCTTGCTCCAGTCACAACAGATATCAGCTTCCACTTCTGACGAGGGCCATCCAGAGAGAAAAAAGAATAAAATGAACACAATTACAGTAAATATTTAAATGTTTGTGTCATTTGTGTGGCAATCCAGCGAATTGGCCTCGTTAGGGCCCTTCTTTTGCACTTGTTGCTGGCACATGCCGGACCTATTAGGGGAGCGCGGGTATTCAATGGGAGGGATTGCATTAAGTGTTCCTTACCCATTCGCCAGATGAAAGCAAGTACAAGTCAAGAAATCAGATAAAAGTCTCGTCTCTCTGGCACTTAGACAGTCCCGTTACAAGTGCAGACATTTACATGACCAAGTGCCCGGTCAGTGGTTGGGGGAAGAGCCTAAGCTCTGAGGTCCGACGGGGTTGCCTCTATGTCTATGCTTGCGTCTGCGTCTGCGTCTACGTCGACGTCTATGTCTGCTTCTGCGTCTGCCTGCCATACGGCGTGTATATGCTTTATGTGCCTAAATTAATATTCTCCGAGGGATGGGGATTGAGAAGGACCCGGGTAAGAGGCTTGTAACATGCCACTTGACAAGTCGACGGTGGGTAGGGGCCGGGCCGTGGCGCGTAACAACGTTAAGGATTACAGATAACACAATAGCAACCAGCTGTTGGCCCAACTGTTGCACAGCCAACAATAACTAAGCCGCTTAAAATTGCCCACTGATTGACTTGGGACCCACTTTCACGCAGACTTTCGCCTATATTTGGCCACGAAGTGTCTTTGGCTAATTGAGTTTTGTCGCTTACAGGTGCCATATAATGTAGCGTTTAAAAATAAAACCTCAGAGGATGTTTCCCTGCTCGTTGTGGACTCGATAGTTGATGTTATCTTCTTTATAGATATTGGTAAGTCTCTAGTCTGGGGCAAAAGAATGCCAAGGTGATCTCATGATTTTGCCCCTTCACAGTGTTAAATTTTCACACCACTTTTGTGGGCCCCGGTGGTGAGGTGGTCAGCGATCCAAAGGTCATACGCATGAACTATCTCAAGTCATGGTTCATCATCGATCTGCTCAGCTGTCTGCCGTACGATGTCTTCAATGCCTTCGATCGCGATGAGGACGGCATCGGCTCGCTCTTCAGCGCCCTCAAGGTGGTGCGCCTGCTGCGTCTGGGCCGTGTGGTGCGCAAGCTAGACCGCTATCTGGAATATGGTGCGGCCATGCTGATACTCCTGCTGTGCTTCTACATGCTGGTCGCTCACTGGCTGGCCTGCATCTGGTATTCGATTGGGCGCAGCGACGCGGATAATGGGGTAAGCTGAAGGCGTTCAAGGATTTCGCCCGTTTCGCCGTTTTTGCTTTGCCTATACTCTAGCTCCTCGCTCCAGATTCAATACAGCTGGCTATGGAAGCTGGCGAATGTGACACAGTCACCGTACTCGTACATTTGGAGCAATGATACGGGCCCCGAGCTCGTCAACGGTCCCTCCAGAAAGAGCATGTATGTGACGGCCTTATACTTTACAATGACCTGCATGACGTCGGTAAGTCGCTGTGGCAGTTGCCACAACCAAGTGGAAGACCGCTGGTTACCTTGGCCATGTGTGTGATTAACCTTCAAATCGTTTGCTCTCCTTTTTCACAGGTGGGCTTCGGCAATGTCGCAGCGGAGACAGACAACGAGAAGGTGTTCACCATCTGCATGATGATCATTGCAGGTGCTGTGTCCAAACACGTTCCGTTGCCGCGTCAAAGTTTCTAAACGAATGAATAACAAAACCAAAAATACACCCGCTACTCCCACGCAACGCTTTTGAATATACTGTCATTGCAAAAGCTAGACTCAATTAGAGCGCCGCTAGAACTAATAACTGCCGGAATTGGTGTAGACCAAACAAAGCCATCTCAGACCATCAATCAGACCTTGTCATTAGCCACATGAGCTCATCACATCAGTGGTAGTGCCTCTGCACCTCTGCCATAAGTCTCAGCTCTCGCTAACTTCACTCGAAAGCAAAGATGCAAATTTTCGATCGCTATCGCCTGACATATTTCTTTTCGTATAATCAAAAATAAAACAAAAATAACTCGACTATTTGCACAATTCGTCGCCTTGTGTGAGTTCGTGTTCTTCTACATCTTGTTACAATTTGATGAGTTGTTATTGGTGTTAAGCATTGACAGCCAGCATCAGTTACCATTCGTCCAACTCGCATCTCTCATTCTCCCAGCCTCCATCAGTAGAGACGCACAGCTGAAGCATATTGCGCATACGCACCGTACGACCTTAAAGCAGGGCATGGACCACAAACGCCACGCCTCTGGTGCGCCTGTGTAATGTCTGTAAGTTGTGTCTCTCTCCTGCTTTCTCTTACTTCTCCTCTCTCTCTCTCCATCTCTTTCTATCCCCTATCTCTAACTTTGTATGTCGCTCGTCCAATTCTTCGCATTTATTACCGTTCTAGCTGCGCGCTTGCGCGTTTCATCATCAGAGTGTAGAAAAACTCTATTCAATTTCTACAATCATAGCAACTGTGTTCGACTCGTTGGCATCTTGTACTCGTACTCGTACTTGTTGCGCTCAATCATAGACAAAATACACTCACACTCACACTCACACTCACACACAGACACAGACACTGTATGTGAATGCCACGAATCCTGTGCGTCTCGATTCGTTCACGCTCGTTTATCTTTGAATCTCTTTCTCTCTCTCCCTCTCTCTCGCTCTCTGCTTCTGTAGCTCTGCTGTATGCGACTATCTTTGGTCATGTGACGACGATAATACAGCAAATGACATCGGCCACCGCCAAGTATCACGACATGCTCAACAATGTGCGGGAGTTTATGAAGCTGCACGAGGTGCCCAAGGCGCTCAGTGAACGCGTCATGGACTATGTCGTCTCCACGTGGGCCATGACCAAGGGCCTCGATACCGAAAAGGTAAGTGCGGCCAATACCTACCACCTCCCACCCACCCCCTTTATCTATTCTGTCTAAAAAAAAATAAGGAACTTGTGTACTGGACCAAAGTAACGTCCAGAACGAAACGAGTAGTTCGCAGTATGTTAGTTTTCCGTAGTGATAATTAGCTTATGCATTCAACGAGCTTGTAGAACTTTGCTCCCAGCATACGCCAAGCATTACACCAAATCCATCAAAACCTCACTCTGCTCCTGCATTAGCTTATCATCATCTGTGTGATACCAACTAGATTTGGCTACCAATCATCAATGTACACATTATCAAAGAAATGCTGAGATCTTACATCCTCCAAGCAGCAAAAACTTGCTATTCCAGGTCTATTCATAACTCGTTTTTTAGCCTCAACGCTTGCTTACAACGAATAACGAACTCACTCGCCCAGTTGAGAGTTGCTGCAGTTTGTTTTTTATATCTTCTTAAGCGTACTTCCGTCACAGCTAGTTCATTATGAGAGAACTTCTCAGTCCTCCCACATTTAGTCGTTACTAAACTCATTCGTTACTTGCATTGAGATGCATTGTTTAAGCGAAAAAGTATATACAGTTACTTCTTAATCTCTTTGAAACATAAATAAGAGAATTTCACTCGTTAGTAGATCCACTCGTTACTTGCTAAATAGAGTTATCACTAGCTCTGCAATGTACATTTGCAACGAGTAAGTTTCATTGTCTGCAGTTTCATCACACTTCGAAATACGAACAAGACTATTTTACTCGTTACTATACTCACTCGTTACTCCTTAGGCGTAGGTACTCTGCAGCTATGCATGTACATTTGCAACGAGTAAGCTTCGTTGTCTGCAATTTCATAATCGAAGAAATATTCACACTTACTTCTCTTCGAAAGAGTATTTTACTCGTTACTATGCTCACTCGCTGCTCGTTAGGTGCAGACACTCTGTAGCTAAGCATGTGCATTTGCAACTGAAAAAGTATATACACCTACCTCTTAGTCTCTTCAAAACACGAACAAGAGTATTCTACTCGTTACTCATCTCACTCGTTACTCGTTAGTTGCATTTACTCTATAGCTATGCATGTGATTTGCAACGAGTAAGCTTGATTGCATTCAGTTTCATAACCGGGGACTTCTTAGGCTCTTCGAGCCACTCGTTACTCGTTAGAGCCAGTCATTAGTCATGTGGTTATCATTTAGAAAGGACAAACTTCACTGTCTGCCATTCGACATTCATTCGACTATCTTTGACTATTTTACTTTACAACAACCGAAAAGTAGATTTTTAATTTACTTAAGCACTTTTATTATTGAAACAACAACTGGCCATTAATGTCTCAGGCTTTTGTATACATATATCTTAGTGCTTATCAACATATTTGTCTGCTCTCTCGCTGCTCACATAACTCACTCGCTACTCTCGCTAACAAGTGCATAATGTGGCCCTGGCTCATAGTTGCCGTATTTAAGGTCCAAGGCTTCCACAGGCATACGCACACAGCACACAGCACAAAGACAGACATACACCCATCCACACACACTAACTCAGAGACAAACACCTACCTACACACACACACACACACACACACATATGCAAACACAGAAATTTACAGCAAAGTTCTTCACATTTCTCAAGTACTTTTAAAATGAAAATGGGAAAACTGCTTCTGCCATTGCCATTTGCCATTTGCCGCTGCTAGCTGCTCGCTGCTGTTTGCTTTGTTTTTGCTGTTATTTTCAAATCGCTTCGCGCATCCACAGCAAACGCTCCAAGCAAAACATTAGAACTTAAATCAAACGCTTTCCCAAACAATAACAAGAAATAGAAGAAAATTTTGCGACAAGACTGAAATATGCCATTGGCAAGTTTCCAGTAGAAGTAGTTAAGAATTTTCACAGAAACGACGCAAACAAAGTTTAAATTTAAGTGTATAAAAGAACCAAAAAAAAAAAACCAAAAAAAAAGAGAAGAAAACAAAGAGAAGAAGCACATTGCTAAAGGGTACAGGTACAGAACCGGCTAGAGGTCCAGCCACAGCTACAGGTCCAAGTCGAGGTCAAGGTCGAGGTCGAGGTAAGCTTTCTTCTGTGTGTCTCTTTCTCTCTCTGTGTCTCTCTCTCTATCTCTCTATTTCTCTCTCTTCTATCTTTCTCTGTTTATCTCTGGTATTTGAGCCAGACCCCTCTACACCACCTGATTAAAACAAAAACAAACAACTTATTAAAAAATCAAAATTCTATTCTCTGTTTTTTATTACGCGATGCGCGTGAGCTAAATCCGTGCCAAAACGAAAAGCGTCCGTCAAATTCATGCCTTTAGATGAACTTAAACCAAACGCCAACGTTTGGCATATGCATTAAATATTAAAAGTTTGGTTTAAAAATTGAGTAAAATAATTAACTTTTACATCAACAATTCACAAATTGCCCACGCCAAGGCCGAAGCAAATCAACTGACCTTTATACCTATTTCGTTGACTGTAGTTTGTGCCGCAATTCGAGAAAACAATTTTCAATGGAAAACAAAGAACAACAACAACAACAACAACAACAACAACAAGACATGAAACATCGGCAGAAGCCGAAGAACCTTGCAGACGTAGTTCCCTATAGTATTATCAGTTACCCAATATGCCAATTCGGTTTAAAGCAAGCTTCTGGATCGCATTCGAACTCGATGATATAGTAGTCCGATAGTGATAGATCAATATATATAACTCCATTGTAATAGTTGAGCTAAGCCATTCGGTATGCGATTCAAGCCTCAAAGCAAGCAATTCTAGTTTTAATCGTAGCCAAGAGGACTGAGTTTCTTTTCTAGGAATTGCAAATCGAATCAAATCGATTTTGCACTAGAAAACTTGACCAACTGTAGCTACAGAGAAGACCCAGTTCCAAATTGATTTCAGCTGCAGTTGCCATTACTACGAATTACTGGGTGATAAGCGTCTGTAAAGGTTTCAAGCTACTCGGAACTGTGTTGACTAACAACACCAACACCAATCCACACACAGACACAATCAATTTCCACTCACTCACACACACATATATATATATATACCTATACATAGATATATATATATATATAAGTATGCATAGATAAAGACAAAACACAATACCTAGCCGATAAAACACAGACACAGGTCTTTTGTACACTGTTCAATGTTGTATATGTGTATTAGTGTAATGTGTGCGTGTGTGTGACTCTCTCTCTGTCTCTCGTTCTCTTTCTGTTGTGTATTACTTAATCAATTATCATCCAGAGCCCGCAGGCAATGTCCGTACTTGTCCATAAGCTAGCACTCATTTTGTTGGGTGTAGCACACATGTAAAATGTCCCAAAATCCTAAAGCGAAACTCCCGAATTTCCTGAAACCCCGTTCCAAGTAGGGTGTTGCAATCCCCCCAAGCGGTGGGATTGCGGGTTAGCGTGTGAAGATATATTGAGTAGCAGAGCACACAACGCAACTGGCAACTCATTCACAATTCGCAGGTACTAAACTATTGTCCGAAAGATATGAAGGCTGACATATGTGTTCATCTAAATCGCAAAGTATTTAACGAGCATCCAGCATTTCGTCTGGCCTCGGATGGTTGTCTGCGCGCATTAGCGATGCACTTCATGATGTCCCACTCGGCGCCGGGGGATCTCCTCTACCATACCGGCGAGAGTATCGATAGTCTCTGCTTTATTGTGACTGGCAGTCTGGAGGTAATACAGGACGATGAAGTTGTGGCAATATTGGGTATGTACAAAGCTAAAAAAAAAAACAAAAAAATCTAGAAACAATTAAAGAAAATTAACCATGGATGTATATGTTGTAATTTCAATCAATCCCATTCCATTGAAGGCAAAGGCGACGTCTTCGGCGATCAATTCTGGAAGGACTCGGCCGTTGGCCAGAGTGCCGCCAATGTGCGTGCACTGACCTATTGTGATTTGCATGCCATCAAACGTGATAAATTGCTCGAAGTCCTCGATTTCTATTCGGCATTTGCGAATAGCTTTGCACGCAATCTGGTGCTCACCTACAATCTCAGACATCGACTGATTTTTCGCAAGGTGGCCGATGTGAAGCGCGAAAAAGAATTGGCCGAACGGCGTAAGAACGAGCCGCAATTGCCCCAGAATCAGGATCATCTAGTGCGCAAAATCTTCTCCAAATTCCGGCGTACACCCCAGGTCCAAGCGGGCAGCAAGGAGCTCGTTGGCTCCGGCCAAAGCGATGTCGAGAAAGGTGACGGCGAGGTCGAACGCACCAAGGTTAGTGTGTAAATTATTTAATTCGCTTGTTCCGATTCCATGCGTTTCGTGTTCTGTTTCCGTTGTTTTCCGTGCAATGCTTTTGTGTGTGTTTTGTGTTATATCGTCAACCGTTACCATTAATCATATTTAGTTACGTGTTCGTTTCGTTTCATTTTTGGATGAGAGCTCACCCAAAGCATAAGCCAAGGAATAGAGCGCTTTGTATCACAGTCTCTCCTTGTGAGTTCGTCTCTCTCTCTCTCTCTCCCTCTGTCTTGTGGCGCCTTTTGTGTGTAGTCTGCCATGATTGAAGTTCGATGCGACATCGAATTTCGATCGATCTTTCGTTATGTTTCATTTCATATTCGTTCTCTTTCTGTTTTTACGTAATGTGTATTTGTGCCTATATATATATACTTATAATGTTTGTGTGTTTGTGTATACCTGCCACATTTGTTATTAACTGAGTAATTGAACTAACATTATATTTTTATCGAAGCATTATTGTTACTAATCCACTCACAGCTACAGCTCAGCCACAGCCACAGCTCAGGTTTGTTGGGCCATGTGGCCAAGCTGGCACCGTTAAGCGTTTACCGTTACCGTTACCGTTTACCGTTAAACTGTTAACCGTTAACCATTTACAAATATCGTATTACTGTTATATCAAATGCATACAATTGACTTATGCTCGTTGTATATCTTTCTTTATCTTCCATTAACATGCTTACGCTCTTACTGACAACATAAACTGCATAACTCTGTCTCTCTCTCTCAACCCTCTCTCTCTCATCCATCATCTTTGACTCTCTCTCTCTCGAATCACCGACATACCAACGCTCACTTTCACGCTTGTTATCGATATCAATATTATAAACTCACCACTTCAATAAATACTGCTTTCACACTCTCTTCCTATATAAAAATACCCCTCTTGCCTATATCTCTGTTTATGCCGTTGTTGTCAACCTGTTGTTTTGGTATGCTGCCACCAACTGTATAAAATTTATTGACCATTGGCTGAATTGATAAAAAATATTACTAACGAAAAATTGTAAATTATTTTTCCTCCCTCCCAAACACCATCTACTTCAACCTTCACATTGACATTAAAACGTTTTGCAACACTAAAAACTCCCAAAATTTTATCACCTTCCAAACTAAACACGAATTTTTGCCTTGCTTGAATTCTCCTACTACTGTTCTCTCTATCCCAATTCCGCTTCCCCCTCTCCACAACAACCAAACCACGACACACTCTTCCTTTTTTCTCTCTCTCTCTTTCTCTCTCTTTCTCTCTCCCACGCTCTCTTTTCATAACTGCTGTCTTGTGCTCGCCAAAAACTTCCAATTGCTCGTTTATAAATACAAAAACCAAACCCAAAATCTATGAACCCATCCAAGAAGCTACCCGCTAAACTAACATTAACCGAGGACTCACGCATATTAACAACCGCCGCTGTGCCCTCACCATCGCCATCACCCTCGCCCTCATCGGGTCCACCATCTGCACGTAGTACCCGTGCTAGCAAATGGGGACGCCTTCTGGGCAGTTCAAGTGTCGATTCAGCTAGCGATACGAGCGCCAAGGTAGCCGTCTCGAGAAGTTTGAGCGCCCGCGAAAGTCTGCGTGAGAGCACTGCCCAAGCGAGGCAGAGTAGTACTTCGAGTAGCAATGGTGGACAAGGCAATAAAGTAATTACCGTTAACAAATCAATACGAATGCAATACATAACAATAATCAGCAACAACAACAACAACAAAAAAACAAACAATTAAAAAAAAAACAAAATTATTTAATCGCAAAAACCAATACAAGAAACTCTTCAAAACGTTAAGAGAATCGATTTCGATCTATTTGGGATATTCTTGTACCGATTTTTGTCACACGATTTTTGAACATATCGTTTAGCAGTGAATTTTAATGCTCACCTATTTTCGTTTTGTTCTTTCTTCTCGATGCCAACTCTTCGCCATTTTGCTTTCATTTCGTTTATTCGATTTGCTCTCGACTTTTACGTTCGGTAATAAAAAAAAAAAAACCATAAAAAAAAACAAACAAACAAAAAAAAGCATTTACAATTAAGCAAAGTAAGTTTTTACTGATCATTTGTCATTTAATTGCTAGCAGAATAAGTCAATTAGATATTTAGTTGCTTTACTCACCTTAAAAATAAAAAACAGTACACACCACGCTTATCGTTATCGATAGCCACATATAAATATTTGCACTGTGTACATATCTACATATGTACAAACAGCAGTCAGCACAGCGACGCATTTGAATAGTTTCACATTAGAGTTGGGCGCCAGCCGACACAACACGCACAATCTACGGCAAATTCGTCAGGCATGTCTGTAAGATTTTGTGCTTGGTTTATGATTTCTTATAATTCATAATTAAATATTAATTAAATATTAGTACTTGTTTTGGAATTACGGACTTGTATTTAATAATTCCCTGCTTTTTAAATTATTTTGAGCCCTTTAATGTCAGTTTTGGATTTCATACTTTGACATTTGACATACGATTTGGATGTGCCTCACAGCCGCTCGCACGAAACTTACGGCTTGCCAACGAACATATCGTGTTGAATTCGTGCAAGGGTAAGCTCGACTTGTGCCCACCTCTAGCGCAGATCGCAGCCATGCGATATACTTTTGGCCTGCGTCTTAGTATGCATGTGGCTATCGATATTTTGCTCGTGCTAGCGATGCGTCGCCGCACTGCCTGTACCACCCCTAGTTAATATTTTTGTCTAGCGCGCTGCTCTGCTCCCACACACGCATGTGCACACGCGCAGCGCGTCTGAGTGTGTGTGTGTGTGCATGTGTGTGTATATGCACTGAACACGATAGCAAATTAGAGTTTCTTGCGAATTAATATCGATTGATATGTTTCTATTTTCCGTTTATTTCTCACCGAATGTTTGCAAATAAAACCAAAAAAAACTACGCATATAAACAAAAAACATTGCTTGTCTTGCTACTACAAACAACCACAACAACAACAACAACTACAACAACATCGATTTGAATTCGATATTTAAATTGGACGCTGAACACAAATTTGCGCGCCACTTGCAAAACGAACAAAAAAAAACTAATTGGAACCGCACGCTTAACACCTTTAACCTTTTGCAATGATCAACAACAACAACAACAACCACAATCATCACCAATGAATGAATGCCAACAACAATTCCGATCTGATGCAACTTAACCTAACATAACTGTAAATCCACTTTTCTCATTCTCTCCTATCTCCTTAAACTATAACTAAAACTGAAACCAAACGAATGAAAACCCAACACGCTCGCTATTAATTGTCATCGATCGAACTGTCACCACCTTCAAATCTATCCAACAATCAACCTGTCAATCTGTCCAACTGTCAACCTCTGCATCTTCCGCTATGCATCCATTAAATACGTCACCCCGCAGGTATTCCCCAAGGCTCCCAAGCTGCAGGCTAGCCAGGCCACGCTCGCCCGCCAGGACACCATCGACGAGGGTGGCGAGGTGGACTCTTCGCCACCCAGCCGGGACAGCCGTGTGGTTATTGATGGCGGCGCTGCCACCACAACCACGTCCACAGCAACAGCCACGACAGCTGGTGCCACTGCAGCAGGCGGCAGTGCTAGCGGCACGACAGGCGCTGCAACAGCTGTTACTGGCGTCAAGGAGCGTAATTTGGCGCTGGAGCGGGAACGACAGATCGAGATGGCCAGCTCGAGAGCAACCACATCGGACACGTACGATACGGGGCTGCGGGAGACCCCGCCCACGCTGGCACAGCGCGATCTCATTGCCACCGTGCTGGACATGAAGGTGGATGTGCGGTTGGAGCTCCAGCGCATGCAGCAGCGCATCGGGCGTATCGAGGATCTGCTGGGTGAGCTGGTCAAGAGGCTGGCACCTCAAATGGATAGCAGCGGTCAAACGACACCTGGCGACGAGATCTGTGCGGGTTGCGGCGCGGGCGGCAGCCCCTCAGCAACAGTAACAGCAGCGACAACTTCAACGGTCACCACGCCCGTGGACACTGTGATAACCATCTCATCGCCCACAGCCACTGGCGCGGGCACACCAACATCAGCAACAGCAACAACATCGGCGAGCGCTGGCGCTGGCAGCGGTCTACTAAATCCAAGCGTCCAAGTTGTGTCAGGCGCGGGAGGCAACGGCCTGGGGCCGCTGATGCTCAAAAAGCGACGCTCAAAGAGCAGGAAAGCACCGGCGCCTCCTAAGCAGACACACGCCGCGACGGCCACAACACTAACGGGTGCGAGTGTTGCAACTGTAACTGTTGGATCTGGTACGGCGAGCGTGACAGCGTCAGCGTCTGCATCATCAGCATCAGCAGCAGCCGGAGCAGCGACGAGTCCAGCGGCTGCTGCCGAGCTGCTGCACTTGCGCCTGCTCGAGGAGGACTTCAGCGCCGCCCAGCTGACGGCGCCAAGTGTCGCTGGCACGCCCACAACAACGGCGGGCACCCCGCCTGCCGGTGCAACGACGCCAACGACCACAGCAACAAGCGCAACAACAACGCCAACTGGCAGCGGACGCAGCGTTAAGCGCGAGTTCCTCTAGCCAAAAATACTGGAGCGCCATCTGTCGGCGGATAGCAGCAGCTTCGAGCAATAATACTCGTCAAATTCAGAGTTTGCCTACGCATACGCTTAGCTAGTCTGTAGTCCGTAGATATGCATAATAGGAACTATGCCTAATTACTTATATATGATGTATAAATAAATATATATATAAATATATATATATATGCATCTGTATATAGATATATATATATATATATGTATACACGATGTACATGAAGCTGTAACTAATTTTAGATACACCTACACTCACTCTTTCTCTCCCTATCTCTCTCTCTGTCTAACTATTTATCAATGTGTCTTTATACTCGAACTCTGGCGCTTAAAGCAGCTCTCTTTCTCTCTCTCTCTCTCCCTCTCTATCTTTGCCAACACAAACTTATCGCGTGCACTTATTGCTCTATCTATCTCTATCGCTCTCCCCCAACTCCCCGGCAACATTTGCTAGCGGTACAAATTTTAAAGCACTCTCTGATGTATCTGATAAAATATGATGTACGATGGAGCTCAATCACGTGATGCTCGTTTATGAATATTAATTAGGGCATTAAACATAAAGCATATTGCTTACGAATTTGCTACATTTACTGCAATTATTTACCTTTATATACAAACAATATTGTAGATCAGATCAGAGCCGAACTAAATAGTTATACTACACACACACTTACACACACACACACACACACACACACGCATACATATATATGTGTATATACATACATGATGTAAATTAATATTTTTGTGATAAAAGCTAAAGCAGGCAAGCAGCAAATAATGCCAGTGAATTGTACATACAAGTAGATTGTGCTTAGGAAAAGCCCATAGGTAAAATCGAAGAAGCGCAAGAAGAAGAAAAAAATAGCCAGTTAGAACCGATCCCAGCAGAATTAGTGTGCATTATATGAGTCATAAATTCAATTTGTAATCAGTTCAAGGAAACTTGGCTTTCCTCTTTGTTACTATTAAAACGCATCTGTAGATATGAGACTTGACTCCTAGAGATCCTTGAAGACATATTGTTGTCTACTCTAGAACTCAACGGAAATAGGCTTCGGATATAGTAACAAGCTTTGGATCGACATTCGTACACTGTCAATTCAATAGATATGTATTTTAACCCGCTATCCACAAGAAGTTTAGGAATTCTGCTGGGCATCTCAGATAGTCGTTTAGTTGGTCAAAGTACTCGATACTTTTTCGATATGCCCCTTGCAGTCAGAGCTTGGCCCAAGATAGATTAGACTTGGTGTCCAGTCGTGTGTATTTCATGATGCCCGTCCTATACATATACGCCTTAAGCGCTTGCTATAGGCTATACCTGATATAGGGTACGTAAGTAGACACAATTAGCAGCGAACTAACTATACGAAAGATCCCAGCCACAACAAACAGAGACGAAACACACAAAAAACGAAAAGACAATCGACAACAACAAGAACAAAAACAAAACAGGCAGTAAAATAATGCAAGTAAATAAACATTTGTATAGACATATTTATAAAAAAACCAAAAAAAAAAGATGTAAATAAAAATTGTATTTCACGCTGCGCTGCTTTGAATTAGAAGAGAAAAAAACGTGAAGAAAAAAATTATTTGTTTATGTAAATATTTGAAGACAAACAATTAAAGGCAGTCAAATATTGAGAGCTACCTTCAAATACTGCAAATGTTAATTAATAATTCCAATTGTTTAACACACACTCACTCACACACACACACATACATACTTTGTGATAAAGCGGAAAAAGTACTAATATTAATTATTTAAAATATTTATAATATTTGTTCATGTCAAAACTAGAAAGGCTTGCATATAGTTTATTGAAATATTGAAATATTGAAATATGGCAGAGTGCTAAGAGTCCTCGCTGAAGAGGAAAGCTTCAAGATATAACACCTTTTTTCCTTCTCTTTGGCATGTGTCCAGATAAAAAAGGTTTCATAACATTTAAGTCGCTTGCGAACTATTTTCCACTTGAATGATTCAGCTTAGCTAAGCTCTTAGAACGATTACTTAGTTCGGTTCTTCTAGTTTCTAGCTCCTAGTTGGGAGCCTCTACCACACACGACCCCGCAGGACACATAAAGCAATACGAACTATTGTCTTCCCGGAAACGAACTCGGCGCACGGAACCGTTAGAGAGTTGTTACTTAGTTAGTTTTACCTAGTTTTACTTAGTCTGGCCTGGAAGATTCCACAACAAATGACAAAAGACAAAAGACAAACGACAAGCATAATACCCGATCACATAGAGCAAGTCCCCCACTCTGATTCGACCAACCAGCAGAAGGAAAAAGAAGAAGAAGACGAAGCAACCGAAAAGCAATTCAAGTGGTATTACAAATTGACTTACATTTAATTATGATAGAATATATATGTAAATATGCAAATAGTTTTCAATTTTACATAATGATATACATATATACATTGATTCGAACGTTTTGATAGTATTGCTAATGAAAATATTTACCAAAATTTGTTGTTGCATATGTTTAGAACAATTCCAGAAAACCAACCAAACAACCAACATATATATTTATCGATATATGTATATATATGACAGTTAGCTAGCGGCGGGCTCATTGTATATAGTCTAGTTTAGCAGTTAGGGGTTATAGCGTTACATAGTGTATACATATAGGACTTTTTTTTCTTAGTAGCTACACGAAATTCAAGAACAATTAAGAGGTATTTAGGATGACCTACTCGGTCTAGCTTAAGGCGCACCAGTCAGACGGAACGACTCAACTAGCTATAATAATGCATTCATTACACGTTAGCTTAGACTCGATCGTTTTTTGGTCATGTTTCGGACAGAGTACTTACCTACATACATATAGAGCATAGAGCTAATAGCGGTACTAGTTAACTGTATAACAGTTTCTTTTTTTCTGTTTTCTGTTTGTTTTTTTGGGCCTTTTTACTGACTTTTTCTTTGCATATAATATTAAAAGAAAAATACTTAAAATACCGAGAGAGAAAATACAAATACAAATACAAATGCAAATACAAAGGCAAATAATACTTTTTTTATTTCTTTATTTTGTTGCAGCTTATTGTCTTAGACTCTATAGCGCATTTAGCTCTAAACCTTAACTAATGGGAGGGCAGATATGCCAATTATTCTGCACTTGTAGCTACTATCTTAATTAGTTCTAATATTGTCTAGAGGATGCAATCTCTTCAGTCTTCGCCTATTGTTGTTTATAGCCAGGTTGCTTGCGAGATGGTTAGGATGCGCTGCAAGTCTGTCCGCGTATCTTGAACTGTGTCGCCCAATGAGTTCAGCAACTGTGGGAATTGCTAAATCCCTATGTAAGACTGAGTTTCTTACAAACCAGCTGGCTCCAGTCCATCTGCGTAGTGCTTTATTCTGCAGGGTCTGAATTTTGTTCCTTGTAGTCTTCGCCGAGGAGCCCCATAGAGAGATACCATATACGAAGGTTGGGACAACTATTGCCTTGTAGATGGCGGCCTTGCTGCTGTAAGACAACTTGCTTGAAGCTCTCAGCATCCAGTCGAGGGTTTTTAGCTTGCTTTTGCATTTTGAGGTTACTTGACTTATGTGCGCTTTAAAAGTCAGCCTTCTGTCAAGAGTGATACCAAGGTACTTTACTTTTGAGGCTTTGGGAATAGTGGGCCCCAATGCAACGCTTGGGCAATCTCCTCTTCTAGTGGCGAAGGTAGTATGTACAGACTTTTGTGCATTAATGGTGATACACCACCGTTTTGCCCAGCGTCCGAAAGAGTCCAGATATTTTTGTAGTGAGTCTGAAGCTTCTTGCGCAGATACGTGACGTGATAAGATGGCGGTGTCATCTGCATAGGTCGCTATGAGTACTGCATCTGTACTTCCTATATTTGGCTCGGGAGTTGGCATATCTCCTGTGAATAAAGTATAAAGTGTTGGGCCTAGAACACTACCCTGTGGTACTCCAGCCATAATTGGTCTAGTCAAGGATACTGTTTGCCCCCTTGACACTTGGAAGGTTCTTCCAATAAGGTATGAGGATAGCAACGCGAAAAATGGGGCTGGAAGGGTGGTCCTCACTTTCTGCAGCAGTCCCAGGTGCCAAACTCGATCAAACGCCTGTTTGATGTCTAAAAAGACGGCAGAGCAGTACATCTTTTCTTCAAAGGCTCCAAGGATATGGTGCACAACTCTGTGAACCTGTTCCGGTGTTCCATGCTGTCTCCTGAAGCCAAACTGATGGTTTGGAATGGCCTCCTGGCGTCCCAGATGTGTCAGTACTCGTTCCAGAAATATTCTTTCGAATATTTTGGAGAGTACTGGCAACAGGCTAATTGGTCTGTACGACTCAATTTCTCCCACGGGTTTGCCAGGCTTAGGAATCATCACAATCACGGCGCGCTTCCAGCAGGCTGGAAAGTGCCGGATGCGGAGCATGGCGTTGTACACCATAGTTATGTAGTCTATGGTGGAGTCAGGCAGTGCTCTAAGGACTCTGCCGTTTATTAGATCATATCCAGGGGATTTTTTTGCCTTCACTCTTCTGATGTGTTCAAGAACCTCTTCTTTTGTACATCCAGTTATCTGGTCTTCAGCTGGGAGGGGCGAGAGAACGATGTCTTCTGTTGCTTCGATTTCTGAGGCCTCTGCGGTAATCACCGGCGTGAATTGGTCTTGAAGGTGGTTTGCAAAAGCCTCAGCTTGAGCTTCGTCTCCAATGTGCCAGGAACCAGAAATGCTCCGAATGGGATGACGTCGTATTGGCTGCCGTTTGAGCTTTCTTGTAAATTTCCATAATTGAAACTCTGCGTCAGTGGGCGATTCAGCTCGTACCAGCGCATCGCTGATACACCTCTTTTGAAGCAGGGCGAGAGCAGCTTTAAGATGCCTCGTGGCTTCGTTGTACATGGATTTGGCATCAGGCGTGCGTAATCTTAACCAGCGTCTCCTGGCCCATCTTTTGTGTATTAGTAGGTGTTGGGCCTCCAAGGTGAGGGGGATGTTGTACGGAGACTGTTGTCTTGTTTGGCAAGATGGTG